TCTGGAAAATAGAAAACAGCTCAGATCGATTTTTTATCAAAAATATCCAAGTGCACCTGGAATAATCATCAATGAAACTGACAAAGTAGCGGAATCCCAAGGTGGAACTGACCCGACTAGGACCCCAAACATCTGAATGGACTAAAGTAAAAGATGACTCTGCTCGATTATCAAGACGCTGAGGGAAATGGGAGCGAGTATGCTTACCGAGTTGACATGACTCGCACTCTAGAGCTGACAAGTCAGATAAACCAGATACCATTTTCTGAAGTTTTGACAAACTGGGATGTCCCAACCGTTTATGTAATAAATCTGGTGAATCAGTAATAGGACAAGTTGTAGAAGGAAGACAAGATATGAGTCCATGTGATTTAACAAGGATAAGGTAATAACGTCCGTTTGATTCACGCCCGGTACCAATGATCCGTCCCGTACTGCGTTCCTGTCTAAAAACATGGTCATCAAGAAATAAAACAGCGCATTTAAGTGATTTGGCTAAGCGACTAACAGCTATGAGGTTGAAAGGACTATTGGGAACATAAAGGACTGAATCTAAAGGTAAGGAAGGAAGTGGGCTTGCTTGACCTATTGCAGTTGCCATGGTTTGAGACCCATTGGCCATTGTGACTTTTGGAAGAGATTGAGAATAGGAAATAGTAGTGAAAAAAGATTTGTTACTAGAAATATGATCTGATGCACCTGAATCAATGACCCAAGACTCAGAGGATGAAGATTGGGAGAAACCAGCCACGCTATTACCTGTTTGAACAACAGAAGCTATCTCAGAAGATGTCTGCTTACATGCTTTGTACTAAAGGAACTCAATATAATCTGCTAAAGAAACCATCCAACTATTCAAAGCATCGGTTCCCATGTTGCCACGAAATGTCTGCTTACATGCTTTGTACTGAAGGAACTCAATATAATCTACTAAAGAAACCATTCGACTATTCAAAGCATCGGTTCTCATGTCGCTACAATTTGTAGTAGTAGGGTTAACTTGAAATAGTGGAAATAAGTAACTCCTGGGAAAAAACTAAAGAAAAAGCTTGAAAAACATTGTTTACAGCAGGAAAACAGAACACTGTTCTGCGCCGGAAACACTGTTCACGCTAGAAACACTGTAGCTCGCAGGAATCTACTGTAGCTGACGGAAAAACTCAAAGTCGTCGGAATGAACAAAACCAGTGAGGGTAGGATCGGAATTACCAGGCGATCCTATTGTTCAACTGGAACCTTTTCAAAATCTGGCCAGAACAGTGCTCACGCGCCGGCGCGTGGGTCAGATCTCGCGGGAAAATTTTTTCTTTTCCAAGTACGTGAGGGCGCATGGACGTGTGTTTTCAGGTGGAGTTGACTTGGATTTGGTCGTCGGAGCCTGAGGAGTCTTGTGGTGGTGTTGGTTGTTGCACAACACCAACAGAAAGTGATTTGCTTACGGACAGCCTTCTAAGTCGCCGGAAAATTGCACGGCGAAGAGGTCTTTCTTCCCGGAAGTCGCTGGAATGATGCACAGCGACAGGTTTCTCACTAATGCTCTGATACCATGCGAGAAAGCACGGGAGAAAATATGTTATTGATATTGGATAATAAATACAATACAAGAGGTCCCTATTTATAGCTATACACTACAAGGAGATATTACTGCTCTTCCGATGTGGGACAAGACTACACTATACATATATGATATATGTAAACTAACATCAACAATTTAATAAACTCCCACGAAAGTATTCATCAGATATCTTATACTTTGATAACTATTCAAGATGTACTTAGATTTTTTATATTATACTATAAGTACTACCACTTTTTGTACGAAATATATCAGCCTAATTTTGCCCTCTCAAGCTCAATAAACCAAAGCTATTTTGTTAGACAAACAACATAATATCTCTTATCCTTTTGAAATTTGGAATAAGGCCGAGTAAATTGAGGATTGTCGTTGTATCAAGTCTTACTTCTTATGAGAAAAGTATCTAATAGTCCGTCCTAACATTAATTTTGCTCCCCTTAAATAACCACCAAAAGAAATGTAGACTAGTTTTTTGGTTGTCCTATGGAGTGAAACAAGTGTAGCACCACGTTTAAATAAATTACTCCCACCAATTTATGTGATGCACTTTGACTGAGCACGGTGTTCAAGAAAGAGAGAAAGATTTTTAAAAGTTGTGGTCTAAAACAAACCATATATATTTGTGTGGCTATAAATCATCTCATTAAGAATAAAATTGGAAGTTTAAAGTTAAATTTGTTTCTAAAAAAATAAATGCATCATACTTTTTGAGACATACTAAAAAGGAAAGTGTATCACATATATTTTTTGAGAAGGTAACATGTTGTATGTATTAAACACAAAACAGTACATGGGTTGTACGGAAACCATATATACAAGTGAGCATAAAGAGTAAACCAGTCTAATTTCTAAATTTCTAACAGGAACCTAATGTGTCTAAGTGCATCACATATATTGAGACAAAGGGAAGTAATATAGAGGATACACTGAATGGGAAGCCTCAAGCTTAGTTCGTGCTTCTCACGATTCAACTTGGGTGTATTACAGGAAGACTAAGAGAACTAGGAGAGGACGAATAGAAGATACACTTCCAAAACACGGTCACAAGGTGATGTGGGTCACTCGTACTTGTTATTTAGGCTTCTCTAACCATTCAAATGAAAATTACACCACCTAACAAAACAATTTTCTCACTACTTCATTTAAGCATGTAAATAAAACATCTAAAACTCCAATAAATATCGGTACAGAGTTTGGTGAGACCATATAGGAAATAATCAGCTTACCACCCTCTAATGGCGGAGGAGGAAAATCTTTCAGAACCCGTTCCATGTGCTCTGAGCTCTCACGCTTTACAATGCGAGCCACAAGGCCCTCCAAAATTTCACCCTGCACTTTTATATGGTCTTTTGATCCTGCACATCAAACCGAAGTATATGAAGGGAGAAAAATGCAACTTCAAAGACGAGCACAGACAACATAAACAAATAATGCAGATGTAAGCGAACAGATTAGAAAGAAAACTATGACTAGATTTGCAAAAGTCAATCGCAAATATACAGACAAATACAGACAATCAGAATGGGCATTACAAGATTGCCACTTAACGATGTAAATTTTTAGCAGCATTGAAAATTTAAAAGCACATGAAGCATTTTGCTTTTAGAGACCCAGTCATGCTCTAATTAATATGCTCTTAGAAATCCATAAAAGAACCAGACAAATGAAAGTGCGTATTAAAATAAGTAAACAGCAAAGATGCTATGACACGTGACAATTGTCTGTAGCAGGAAAATAATCTGACGATGTATGTGAAGGGCAAGGATTGAAGATAGATAAGGCCTTTGAAAAGCATAAGAGAGTGAAGAGAAGCTAAAAGGCAATAGGAAAATCCAGGGTAAAACCTTAGACAAGTTGTACCAAAAGTGAAGGCATGAGGGATCGGAAAAAAGAAATGTATGAGCTAGCACGACATAGAGATAAGGTCACATTAAACCTTCTTTTTTTCCCTTCTTTTTTTCCCTTTTGATAAGGTGATAGTTGTACAATATTCATGCATACAAGTGGTATACAGCAGTAGAAAATCTAGACCAAATATGATTCTATAGAAATAGTGTCCAATCATCTACCTTTCTCATCCTTTTGGCTAAGATCGAGTGTCCAATCATCTAGACTAATTGAAAACCCCGCAGGTGCTATGAAAGTTCACAAAAACAACAAAGATCTTCTAGTTTCTAGCGGAAATATCTCCGTACTTCTCCTTCTCTCCCTTCTAAAAGCCCAGTAAAGAAACAAACATTTGAAGGTGTTTGGCATGCTCCATTGCATGCCAAAAGAGATCGAAAGTTATATCCCACAATCTGTACGTTACTTGGTAATAGATAAATACATGATTCATTTTCCTCCCACCTCTTACACTTACCATCTGATATATGCTATCTTCTTTTCACTCATATTTCTCATATGTAAGAAGAAAGCAATGTTGTATAAAGTCCTTTGTTTTCCTTGACATACCCGTTTTTAGCAAGTGTGACACGACTATAGGTCTTCGTACAGGTTCTTCAAAATACACGGAAGCTTAAAGTTTGAAGTACTGTACCACATAACTGTCACAAGGAAGCTAGTCAAGTATAGAAAATATGATGAGCTGTGTGATACAATTAGATGAGGTAGGCTCAAAATCAAATGGAAGAACGCTATCTCAGTAGACTAAAATCTCTCGAGATCGATGCAACAAGAGTTCAGCAGAAGCAAAGAACCATGAGATTATAACTAGTTGGAGTTGAGCTAGTTATTCGCATCAGCGTGAGATTTTAGAACCTATAATTTGTACAGAAGAAAGAGACCTCAATAGAGAAATTCAGGAAATTCATTTTGTCAAACCCAAGTGTTTTGAGATTAAGTTGTAGTTGACTGATAGACTTTGATGAATTCTGAAAATGTTCAATGGTTTTAGTTGTAATATTATGTTCTAAATTCACCTTATCAACCGCTTCTAGATTTCGGTCATTGGTCAACTTTTTTAAAGTCAAGGAGAATTAGAATTTAGGTCACTTGGCTTTGTTTTCATAGTCAATTAAAAATTGGTAACTTAGCTTTGCAGCAATTTGCTGCAGTATCTCTTTATTAGGTCAGTGACCCTGCTATTCACAACAGTGATTTGCTTTGTAGATAATGGGACACCATGACAACAACATGGTATATGGAGGGGTTCGGGATATGTATGACACTGCATCTGACCAAACTCTTCCTCCATTAGATTACTTAAACCTCAAAAGTTATGTCAGTTCATTGCTTAAAAAACTTTTCCTTCTCCAGAAGTGCAACGACATACAATAAGTATAATTACAACTTTTTATTCCAACGATCACCTGACATATTTTAAACTACCAATTCCACCTTTTCCCACTCCAGACTAATGTACCAAGCAGTTCTGGTAGAATGAACCCCCTACCAGAAAAAGTTAGCCACAAAAAACTGGAAGGAGAATGTGTCGAACAGGCCATAGAAATGGTATGGAAGATGACCAATCAAATGAAACCAGCTGAACAATTTAAAGAATATTTTATACAATGTTAAACTTACCAGGTACAGAAATATCAGCAACTTCGTCAAGAGCCTGGCAAACGGTTGCTGCTGTACCTTCCTCGCTGAGTGCATCAAACACAGCAAAGAAGGAAGTCACAGATTTCCTTCATGTGGAAACAAGTGTATTTTTTCAGAAATAGATAATTTCTCATACCTCCATAAAGACAGAAACAGACCCAAACTTAATCTTCTTCTTTTTTAATGGAAATGAGACAATGTGAAACAACATGCCAGTGAAATTGACATTGAGAGCTAATTAAAAACATGAAGAGCCATCCGTATACAAGAGACAGAATCTTCCAATGATGGGATAAGAAACCATCTTCAGTTACTAAGAAAGCGATTCAAAATAGGTATTAGAGTCACCACATGACCTAGCTTTTCATGGCAGCCAACCAGAAACAAAGCTGCATTTCTACCAATTTGCTTTCTCGTATGTCATCATCAACAGGAAAACTAAGAAAATAATAGCATGTTCGAACTAAAGGCCATAATGCCATAAACCCAACGGTTGCTTGTATCACCTGTGACACTAATAGTTTTTAAATAAGAATGAAACCAGACATACTGAGATGCATACCTTGTTGAGAACAGCCATACATGATTGGTTGGTAGTCTCCATTCCCTGCAAAAAGCGATTACATCGGGAGTTGAATAGAACTTTGGTTTTCCATTTCCCAACTCTGTGACTGCAGTCACAACCGCTGTTCAAAGAAAGATTGGAAAGAGTGTCAGCAAAAGGGTGTCAGTCTAAAAGATGTTGCAATAGTCAATTACAAGCACATAACGATAAACAACCTTGTTCAGCAATGAACTACATTTTGGAATATCAGGAAACGTGGTGCTCAGACCGTACATAAATCCACGTTCTCATTTAACCTCCAAAACTATGAAGGTTTCTACATAGCAAGCACCTACAGATCTTTATGTTGTGATTCAGCACAACTAACAGATTTTCATCTCTTAAGACCAACAAATAGTTGAGAGCCAATGTTCACCCAAAAAATAGTCAAAGCACTCATTTAGAAGACTGAAGACTATTTGAACCAAGACATATGACCTCTTCCAAGGATATAATTTCATGGAGATGTTAGGCTTCCTTTTAAACCTTACCATAATCATCTCGTGGGCGTTGTCCGTGGTCCCCCAATACTGCTGTGACCAACTCCATTGATATGCACATGTGATTGCACTGCAACATCAAAGGTTTAGTAAGTCGAATTACATACAATAAGTCAGAATACGAGCTGCTTTACAATGTTTTTGCAGCTAAATTAACAAAATAGAGTGAAAATGAAACATGACATGACATGATAGAGCAAAACTAACACCAGGTGAGAAACAGATAGAGCTCTGACAATTGGCATTCCATCAGAGTAATATTTTCAGAGTGATAGTTCCAAACAAAAGGTGATATCCCATCAATAGTGAAAGTATGTGACCTAATGAACCACGCTCAAGAGATGAAAGCACCAAGAAAAAGATTGCCACTGTAGCAAATTAAAATATAGAGAAAGAAACTATACCCACATAACTCTAGCGCAAGATCTATCCTAGGCAGCTGGTCATAGCGCAAGGTCTACTCAAGGCAATGCTCACACATAAGGTCTACCAAATCCCGTAAACGTATTAAGTGTCTCATTTCAGACTCCTTTATTTATTTATTTTCAAATAACCAATACTTCCTAGAATTTCAAGTTCAGGAGCATTTTCAGTGATGTTACAGAGTAACGGTTAGGCAAAATCCTAGAAAAGTCTAGTCAGAGTTATAGGAATTAAAGTTTTTTCAGAAAATGTATTGAGTATCCAACTCCTTGTTGGCCTACGGAATCCTTGAGTAGAACTACCTAAGCATCTACAAGTACCTGTAATGCTTTCAAAACCATAAGTTAAGCCATTATATACCAAATAGTTATAAGAGAAAAGGTCATTCCATAACGTCTTCAGCTTTTTTTTGGGATAAGGTAAAGTTTTATGCCTTTTGAACCATGGAGGTAACGTCCTCCAACTAAGAAAATATCTTCTCCCTTCACCCACAACTTTGGTTGTCACTTTCTTCCTCTCGATCAAACAAACTCTCTCAAGCCATTTCCCTTTTTGGTGTCAAGCCAGCAAATCCCAGGCTTCAACCTTGCAGATCCCAGCCTTGGTGAGGAGCAATAAATGATCATCAGGATTCATTTTACTAAGAGTTTCATCAGGATAATAGAAGTTCCATTCAAAAGCTGAAGATGAATTGTCTAGTTCTCTTTTATTTTTGGTGTAAACAAGAGTACTTACAAGAAGCTGAGTCTATTTATGAGATTTTAGATTACTTATGATAGTTTAAGGACTAGGAACTCAGGCTTTAATTCTCCTTGTAATTACATAGGACTACACTGCTTTGTGTAATCGCTGATTAATATATATACTAATATGATACCTTATCCAAAAAAAAAAAGGAGTTTCAGTTATCTGGATTATACAGTTTCATCTACTCACAGACGCTTGCATGTTTACGTAATGGTGGAGGTGCAGAAATTTCTTTGTTGCCAAGGATGCAAAAAAAAACCTACAGACTTCCATTTGTCTTTGGCAGCAGATCTTCTTTAATTCATGTGGATGATTTTATAACATTTTGCTTAAGTAATGAATAACAGGGTTGGAGACTCCACCTGATCTAGGCAATAGATTGTAGTTGGAGATATACAAATATTCACACGCATATAATTAGTAATCAATCAGCGCAACCAATTTGTTCTGCACATCAAAAAAATATAGGCCATAAAGAAAAAAAGATAGAACAAGAGAGGAGATCAGAAAAGACAAGAAATTCAAAGGACAAATCTACTACAAGTAAAAACAACAGGAAGGAAATCGTAGAAATCACTTCAGTGGTAGTCAGATAAAGAGGATTCTGCAAGTGCATGAGGTAGAAGTAAGCCAAAGTTTTTGAAAAGAAACTAAAAAGCTAAGACCTAAGATTGAGCAAATTTATCCTTTCCTGAGAAACTACACTAAGTATTCCTTAAAATTTTACAGCACTAACCCCTTTTTTTTTTGATTTTTTTGATTTGCACCGGGTGTCCGAGTCTCTTTGAGCCCCGACTAATCCCGGGGGTGCACAGGCCCTCGACAAGGAGTTTTCCGCAAGTGCACCACGGTTAATTCAGGTTTTACCCAATCCGATGGCCCTCAGAAATTGTTTACACCCAGTGAGTTTTTCGAACTTGAGACCTTGAAAGGGAGCAAACCCCAAGGCTCAAGTCAATTGCCACCAGGCCAACCCCTGAGGGTTAGCACTAACCCCTTTTAGCTCAAAAATATTTATCATTCATGAATTTCTTGAGGCTCGTGATAAGAAAACGTTGAACTTAAGGATTAGCAATATCTATTAAGTATGTACTATGAAGTCTCCTACATATGGAACAAGTTTTAGTTCAATACCTCAAGAAACTCGTTGAACTCTGCTTGCTTCTTGCTTGCTTGAGTACCCCATGCCTCACGAAACATCCGTCCAAGAACAAAGACACCAACAGCAGTGTAGCTACAAAATGCAAATAGAACAGCAAGCTTTAGTTGAGATTCAAAGAGTTTAACCACCATGAAAATTACCAGGTAATGGATGATCCAACTATATAGAAGGCCACAGAGGTTTAGAATGGATGATTTTGCTATAAATGGTGCTCCCAGGCCTATATCATTCTCTACACAAAATGAGAAGCATCGGTGCAGAACATAAATCCGTCGAGAAAAGTAGTTGATGAGTTTATTACACTTTAAAGGAGAAGAAGAATGTCAAGTGAAGTGCCTCTCAGGCTCCACCATTTTTTCAAAATAACACAGCCATGACTCCAGAAAGTTGTTTGAAGCAACAACCCGCTGAGCACACAATTAAGACTACCAAAAAAACAATAGTTACACCAACAACCTTCTTATAGAAAACATGAAAGCATCCGGATATTCAACTACTTGCCAATGCAGCCCCACATGGCTGTCAGGGCTAATATAAGGAAAGAATCAAATTACATAAGAAAATCAAACAAGGAAATGAATAAACATGGTATCAAAAAATTCAAAGGATGCATGACCACATTGATGAAGTTCAAAACTTTGCGCTAACCCTACATATTCATAAAGAAGTAGAAGATGCTTAAAAATATATATGCGGTAGACACAAGTATACATACATATTCCCGAAGCTATTCTTGGCATATGCTCCACCCGCATGCCCAGCATACATAAAAAGAGATCCAGAATGCTTAAGTGAGACCTGAAAGAAAACTATTTCCCGCATGAGCAGCATAAAAACACCTATAAGATATAAATTTTAACAACTGGAGAAACAAACACAAAAAGAGAGTATGACAAGATAACCCAGCTACAGCGATAACCAAGGTAGTGAAAATGGTGACTGCATCTTTATAAATATCCAACTTGCTAGTGTATTGTTTTGATGAAGGAACGAGAATTGTAAGGTAAACTAAACCTGAAATCTGCATCGTTCAAGAAAAACGTACCTTCCCAATAAAAAGAATCAACAGAAATTAAATTCGCAAAACATCAAAAGCCAATCAAGCTTGAGTCCTACCTCCATTGTAGCCAAGTCTTTGGACACCATCTCTATCATCCTTGACCTAATCTGAAAAACCATACTACCATTCATGAATCGCTTCTCTTAAGCATCATGAACCACAGAAGAAAGAGATGTTGGAGAGATCGCTACCTCCTGATCAGACTTCTCATTCTCAAATTTTGGGTAGAAAGTAGCCCTTACTTGGGCTCTGGAAAATGTTGAGTTGTCTACAGTAAAGTTTTCCAATAAATTATCCTTGAATAATTTACTTAAATTAGCATTCTTTTGCTCATTTGATGTTTTTTCAGCTTCAATTGTTGGGGGTCCAGACACTGTTCCATATGCTTTGGGTTTCCAGATGACTTTTTGATTCTGTACAGGTGACTGGGTTGCTAATCCAATGCTCCCAACTTGAAGAGATACCACTGGAGCACTAGACTGTGCAACACCTTCACTAATATCCAAGGAATTTAGACGGTTGGTAATGGCTCCAGTAGTTGCAGCAGATACAGGTTCGCCATTTGAAGACGAGCCTGTTTCCCTGTTGGAACTTGGCCTCGCTTGCCATCTTTTCTCTTTATGACCACCCCTTCTCTGCATTTCCGAAATTAAAGTGATTAAATTAAATCCAAATCCTAGATGCACTTACAGACACATAATATGACAAAAAAAGGTAGAACAAGATTGACGGAAATGATACTCCACAACTATCTTCTTCTTTTTTGATTTTGCACCGGGTGTCCGAGTCTCTTTGAGCCCCGACTAATCCCGGGGGTGCACAGGCCCTCGGCAAGGAGTTTCCCGCAAGTGCACCACGGTTAATTCAGGTTTTACCCAGTCCGATGGCCCTCAGAAATTGTTTGCACCCAGTGGGTTTCGAACTTGAGACCTTGAAAGGGAGCAAACCCCAAGGCTCAAGTCAATTGCCACCAGGCCAACCCCTGAGGGTTACTCCACCACTATCTTAGACCCTCCTAAATAATCAAACAACGAACACAGCTATACTGCACAAGAAGCTCGCAATATAAGGTGATGGTGATGATGGCACAAAGATAAACTAGTACCAAAAAAAAATTGTGACACCACTGCCATAGTTTGGATTTTTTAACTCGTCAAGAAATTACCAAGATTTTGACAGTACAAGCGAACCACAAGTAAAAGAAGGGTTTCTTATTTTTGGTGACTATAAAAGCACAGAACATAAACAAAGATTCAAAACAGAATATGAAAAAGAGAGAAAATAAAAATAGAACACACTTTGCAGGTTTGTTTAGCGTTCCTTCCTAGTTCCTATCCACTACTAGCGGTATGATTTCCATTCTCAAGAAACTATCGGATTTCTTTCCCTTAATGGCAATTATTGATAGATATGGAAACAACAGCTAAGCCTCAACTTGACCTGTACGAGCCTAGTGCTTCATATTCTGTTTGTTAAAGTAGATACGCCTGAAACAGGTCCATGAATACACTATTGGAGAAAGCAATGAACGGCAATAATAAGTACAGAGCTGTCAGTGAGGTAAGAATCATTCAACACCAAATTATGCAATGCAAAGACAGTTTTCCGGTGTTGGCTATCTAGTTAGAGAAGTGATCCTTAGGCTTTTGTTTTTGTGTTGCTCTAAATTTGCAGACATTGGTAATTTCTTGTTATATTTAATCAATAGTGGACTCCAAAGTACACTGCACACTAGTTTTTTACAAATAAGATTGAAACTTGGTGCCAATTAATCATCTTTTTCTAGATATATTTGAGCTTCAACGTGATAATTGATATTGAGCTTTTTTGACAGCATCATCAGGTGTAATAATTTTATTTTTCTTTCTAAATTTAATAAAAATGTCAGAATAACAACATCCAAGTTAATCAAAAACTCGCTCTTTTAAAATGCAATCTCATAACTGGAAATTGAAAAGCAAACGAAACCAAAATTAGAAGAAACAAGAAGGGGCAATATCAATATTAAAACTTGATCAACAACACAAGAAATAATTAACGATGTAAATACAACATGGTAATATACCTGATTGTTCGGCATGGGTGAAGAGAAGAGCGAGCTAGCGAACGTGAGAGAACGAGATTGAAAGAAGAGGAAGGTTCTAGAAGTAGTTGGAGAATGGAGTTTGGGGATGAAAGAGTAAACGATCCTATGCGATACCGACATTCAGTGCTAGAGAAAAGGAAGACTAAGCTAATATTTTATACAGAAACGGCGAGTAATTTCAGGGGGGAAGATTACCACCGCGTAGAGGCGGTCTCGAATCAATGGGTTCCAATAACTGAAGTAACACAGTTTTTAGCTTCTATTTTCAGGGTCGTTAGTAGAGGATTTGTACTTACTAGTCTTACTGTAGGCGGATTGCGCCTGTCCCTCGTATTAAGGAGAATCAACTTCTAAAAATGACATAAATGTGATGTATTTTTATAATATAAAAATTAATGCAAAATTGTAAATCCTGTTTAGCAATAAATTTAATGTCAATATATGGGGAAAAAATGCAAGTTCTAAAATTGTTATTTAGAGTGATCCGAACGAAAAAATTGGGACAACAAAAAACTACTTAGAAGGTGTTTGGATTGGCTTTTAAGTTGGTCAAATCAGCTTTTAAGTTTTTTTTAACTTTTTTCAGTGTTTGTCAAAGTCAAGAAGTACTTGAAATAAGTTAAAAAATATTTAAAACAAGCCAAAAATAATAGGTTGGGCAACCTCAACTTATTTTTTTTTGACTTAAAAGTTATTTTTGCTGAAAAATCACTTTTTTTAAGTCAATCCAAACGGGCTCTTGGAATTTAAAATATAAAGCTAGCAAAAAAGTACTTTTATAACTACAAATTTCTATGGAAAATCGTCCCTTTTGTAAAATATAATATGCTAAAACGTAAAGTGACATTAATTATTCCGTAATTTAATTTAAATTTTTCATTTTTTTTGTATTTAAAATAATAATTTATTCAACGTAGAATGCACTTATAAATGATAAAAAAGTCGATCATATTTCGTTAATATTTTTTGTATTTTTAATATAATATAGATATAGATTAAGAGATATTGCTACAGATTAGTACAAGATTATTTGATAATACATGAAGTGTCAATTATTAAGAAAAAAATTGTTCTTTTTTGGAGGTTGTTCTGTTTTAAAATTTCATACAATTTGATAAACATTTTTATTTTTTGTAGCAATTTCCTTTTGATTATGTCCCGTCGGTTTTACATTAATTTACCAAAGTGGGTATGGTTCTTGTAACTTCTTGTATGTAGAGAGTTCAAATATTTGAATTTAAAATATAAGGGTACTGCATGATTTCCATTATACAAATTGTTCAAATGTTTGAGTCATAAGGTGTTATAATTTACTCAAAACAAAAAATATTTCGATGTCATGTATAAGTTAATGAGAAGGCAATGTTGATTGAGAAAAGGTGGACGAATATTTAATAAACGAGAACCCGAATTTTTTGTTTGAATAAAGAAACAACAAAATTGTGAAATTGTGATGACCTGCCTTACTAAGCTAGGTAAACATTTCCGCCGTCAATTTATACTCATGTTCCCTTCCTTACTGTTCTTCTAGGCTTATACTATCTTGTCTGGCACAGTAACAATATAAAAGTGTAAATAAAATTTTCTGTATGAAAACTTTTAAAATATTTTGTGATGTAACTTTATTATTAGAGTAATTTTATTTTCAAAAACATGTACTCCAGTAGTTTAACTATTTAACCTTTACTCGATTGTGTCATTCATTTAAGAAATGGGAAACAAACGAGCGAAAAATTGGTCGAGTATTTCATGAGGTTATATTGCTACCGGCAATAATTTCAAAACGAGAAATTTTTTATTACCGTGCAGGGAAAGAAGAAAATGTTTATTGAAACAGTAGTAAACAGCAGTAGCAATTTCATGATTATTTTTAGGAACAAATGAACAAAGGAAGAGGACATTGCTAGTTTAAAAATTATATATATATAAAATAAAAAAATAAAAAGAGTACATTGCTAGTTACTTTGATGGCCATGCGTGGTAAGTGTGGTTTCACATTTTGAGAAGCAAATATCAAGTACGTAAAAGTAAACCATCATTATCCTAGATAATCAATCTTATTCCATCAATTTTTCATGATTCTCATACTCTTTTGACATCAGCGGGGGAAGATATTAGTTTTCCAACATTCAATACACCACAAAAAAAGAACACTAGAAATAGTTCGTCATTATTCCAAACTTTCTTGGACCTTTTTATAAACAACAAAAATGTTAATGAAAAAGGAAAGGATAAGAAGTCGCAAAAATATGCCAATGTTACTGAAAGGCTCTGTAATTTTTCTCCTATCAACTGAACCCAGCCTAATCAAAACCATATAACGAGACTCAGCTTAAGGCTAGGCGTTCAATTGGGGTGCTTATATCTGTGATCTTGTAATAAATAGATCTGAGACTACATAAAAGTGTGTTAAACTCATCTTTACTGTAACTATTTCCTCCTAGGTAATCTATGCTTCGTATTATTCACAAAGCTAGGAAGGAACCACTGTGGCCATATAGATAATGGACATTTAAGGTAATTTGGCTGCAAACTGCAGGTGGTCAAGCTAGTCTATAAAGTCCTCTTTATCAGAATTGACTAGTGTAGATGCATTCTCTTCATCAGTGGAAACATCACTCATAATTGTATCTTGTATATCTCCGTCATCTTTATTTATGCGAGATTGGTCTGCTTCTGGTTCTGTGGCAAGAGGTCCTTGAGGATTCCCAAAGACAGTGCTAAATATCTGTCTATGGCATTCATCACAAAAGTAAAAATAAGTGAAATGACCCTCATATAAGAGCCTATGTACCATTGCATCTGGTAGGACTCGCTGCAAAAAATCACTTGTGGATGGTGGTACCACCATATCTTCCATCCCCTAATAAATTGAAAAGTTTAATTACTCACGAGATCGAGAAACATGTTGATATATATATGTGCATTAATAATGAGGAATAATCTTTAGTAAGGGGAATAGAAGAAGTATCACAAAGAAGAGGATGATAGACCCCATCTAAAGAATATATACAGGTAAGAAAGAAGGGATGAACCAACCTGCCATACATGTATTTGACCAAGGAATCCACTCAAGATATCTTCTGTTTGACCGTATAGAGACTTAATCCAATGCAGAATACCTTTTCCAGGGCGTTTTCTCTGCACTTTGAGGTCTGCAGGGCTAAAACCCCAATTTGAAACCTGTAAGACAGCTTCCTCCACAAATGGCTTTGCATTCACTTGCCGCACCGATTCTTCTAGATCTCTCTGCCAGAACTCTTCAAACAATGGGTGTTCCACCAGAGCTTTATCCTGGAAAAATATGACATTCAGTTAATTGACCTGATAATATAAATCTGTCAAAACTATTCAACCACAATCTCAATGTATAACAACGTTTTTTGTAACTATAAATAGAGAGACCAGCAAACTTTGGTAATGATTTCATTTCTGTTTGAAAACTTTATTTCCAATTCATGAATCTAATAACATAATAATATGTGCACAGTCAACTTTGAGATGTTACCGTTGTTACACTATCCCATAGTTTTCTGACAAGAATCAAGGTTACTCACTCTAATTCCCAGTGACAAGGAAAGCCGTGTTTCGATCTGGCCATGGACTCCACACAGGAAGCTTCTACGGTAAAAATAAGGAAGTAATCTGGGAAACTTCCTAGCTAACGTATACATGACTTTCTTCTTTGTTGTCCATCTTTTCCACATTTTATTCTTCTCCTCCTTGGTCATTTTTGGTTCATATGGATTAACCATTGGAGCAACCATGACTGCACCTGCAAATTCAATCAGCACTTAGATTCAGCTGAGAGGATATGAAGAGAACCTAAATTTTGTTTTGCATCTCAAGTGCACCAGAATAAAGTATATATGGGGCTTTTGAAATCTTTGTCGTAAGCCTTAGGTGCAATGAAGTGATTGAAGAACCCTAGGGACCCAGAATCAAGAAAGAGCAACATCAGTATCTTGAGGACCTTTTTTCACCCACTGTAGACAACCAGTGACATTTCCAACTCCACAAGTATGTTTTAGGCCTTCATAGCACTTTAGTTTAATGAGCTCTATGCTAATTTGCACACTGTTTCACTCATTTGACAAGATTCATAGACTTTGGCAATACATCATTTCTTTGGGAATTGTTATGTCCACTTGGCGTTGAAAAGAAGCTATGGAGTTGTAAAGTCTCCGGCTGTCTGTGATAAGCTGTCAAACATTGAGTGTGACAGCAGCCACCTAGATGTCTCTATAAGTCAGTTGCAGGATGATTAAAGATCCTTGCATGCGCACTTGAGATGAGAATGACATACTGTCAACAAAAGCAAAGTCAAAGACCACCGTACCTGCAATCCTGTCAGGAATGTATTTAAGGGCAGCCCAAGCATGCATACTTCCACCAGAGAATCCCACCACCCAGAATTTGTCAGTAACATTGATAGCATATGACAAGTGTAGCATATCCATGGCTGATGATTCAAGGTTCCTAGAAGGATGAGGATCGCTTTCCCCGAATCCTGGAAGGTCATATGTTACCAAGCGAACCCCATACTCTTGCAGAAGAGAAGTCTTAATGCCGGGTATTCCTGCTTGTTTTGAGAAGGCAACAAACACACCCCATTAATGCATATGAAAATGCTTGTACAAAGGACTTTCAAAATAAACCACTTTTACCTATGTTTGAAGTGAAAATAGAACGAACAGGGAGAAGGTAAGTAAATAAGCAGGGTGACCTTTTTTGATTAGGAAGTGAACTGATGGGGTTGCACATATTGCCGAAAAAGCTATTCCATCTCCTCAAAGGTAATTTGATTTACTACACCAATAATCAGAACCAACCAATCCTTTCACTCTTTCTATTGGTCTCCCCTTCCCTTGAACCATACAGAATGTTAATTGGAAAGGTTTTCAGGTTAAGGTTCAGTACAATACCTGCAAGACGGGACGAGACGAAAGAATGTGGGGCAATCATAGAAAATCTAGCCTGCTCAGCCGAAACACCTTGCTGATGATAAGCAAAATGTCTACCATCTGGGAGCAAAATTCGACTAGCATTTGGAGGATGTACATACACTTTCTTGACCAATGGATTTGGAGATATATCATCACTACTTACAATCAGTACTGCAGATTAGCTTCTGTTAGTAATATTATAAAAGAGAGGCATAGAAAAGGAGAAATAGCAGTCAGTCTTGAAAACATGAGGATATTTGCAAAAACTAGTGAATTTGATCAACAACAATGAACGATATCAAGTTATCAACCCACTCTAAAATTACAATTTTCACAAATTCTATTGGACCAGTGAGAGGAACTCGACTTTTTCTGTTCTCCACAATTACAGTGAGCATTATAATTTTAATAGGAAAAGAGACGTGAAGCTCAAGCAGTAATCATGCACAATATTTCAAGACACATTGCAAGTATGAATTGGTTGCAGCACCTCAATCTGTGCGTAGGTTGCGAATGGCCAATTTTCCTACTGCATAAGCTCAGATGTTAAAAGTTTAAAGAAGAAGCTGTATCTGTCTGATTTATGCAGACACTCCTTTCTCCATCCACATATATCAGACTCCATGAGCATAGTTTCTGCAGATTATTGATCAATAAGTTTCATTTTTATTCCTCTTATAACAGCCTACTTTGTTAATCAACTAGATTACTTGTGCTCCGGAACACAAGAACTCGCTTCCAAGTCAGGATGAAGATTTTATTAAATGCCCTAGACAATGTTGCAGGATTGACCAAAAAGCAGAGAATGAATCAACAAGGCAATATTAATCATTCTAAAAGCACCATCAATTGAATACCACAGTTATACAAACTTGTTCAAAACATTTCTGACGAGCGAAGACTATAACAATCAACCGAGATAAATCAATTCCTGTAAGGTTAAGAATGCAATTCTTTTTTCCTTTTTTTTTGGTCATCTATGAGAATTCAAGAAAAAGACGGTTTCTAACTGCAATCTTAATAAATACTGAGATTCAAACTCGTATATTACAGTTCTAACAGTCGCCAAGGTTTGTCCTCTTGAGACCAATATTAACCTGTCGTAAAACCATCCTCAGAGCCAAAATGACAATATATCAGTTACCAGATAACAAGCAACACCATATTGCATAGCCTAATTTCAAACTAGTCCGTATATAAGAAATATATGCGATCATAGTATAAATTTCCCTAGTTTAAGTTAATACGTTACTTCAAAATCAACATTACTAAAATCATCTCATGCTCATATTTGAAATTGTGTAAGCTCTTGAAAGGCAGAGAAAGTTTTCCAAAATGGATTTAAGTAACATACATTGCGACTTTACGGATTCTTCTAACTACTAAGTGACCTGATTGTGTAAAATATTTTTTACAGTTTTAGTGCACAGAACTTAAACTCTACCAAAATTCATTCTACATTCTCTCAAAAGCAAGCCATAAAAACTAAATTCAAGTACCTGAAAAAGCAATAAATAAGACAAAAAATATCACACTCCAAGCATGAGCCGGATCACGATCTTCCGGCAAGTATTCATTCAGAAAACTCAACCTCCGGCAAAGTTTATAACACGGCGCTCCAACTTTCCTCACGAGTACCGAATCCTCTCTGATCACACTCTGCTTCAACACATCCCTCACCCCTTTCCCGAACTCCACACTCATCTCCGCAAATCCTTTAGCAAACTCCACCGCATGAAATTTCCAGTTCTCAGCTTCATTACCTGCCGCCGCCGCTGCCTTAGCCACACCAATTCCGCCACCGACGGCGGAGTAGCTCGAATTGTACCGGATTTCGGTGTCTATGCCTTCTCTCCATGACTCGTTGACTTCAGACATGGAAAATTCCGTTTCAAAAACCGAATCGAAATTCTTCAACAGCGTAAACTGTAAGCTATTGCTCTTTCTCTTCTCTCACTATATACATATACACGTGCATATGTATGTATAGATTCCTGTATTTTGTACAAGAATATGTATAATTCTACTACCTTTGCGTGTATTTATATTAAAGTTAAATTTATGAACAAATCTGCATGTATCTCTATCTATGAGAAATGCGTATATCACTATTGTGTTTGTATATGTGAATTGTGTTGAAGCTTTTTTGGCTTTGAGGTTTAAGTGAAGGGAAGAAGGGCCAAAGTGTAATTAGAGGAAAGTATAGGGGGCAGTAGGTAGAGGTTATTGGGTAGATAAAGGGCTGAGATTTTGCCACGTAAGGAAAGAGCGGCGTCAGAGATAGTGGAGTGGAGTGAGGTAGTGACAATGGTGGTTGCGTAGTGGTGGGGACGTGTGGTTTTATCGAGACTTGAGAGAGTAACGAACGTTACCGGTATTTGCCGGTAAACTTTTGTTTTTTTCCCTTTTCTTTATTCTCTATGTTTCCGTGAAAACATTGTCGTATCATTTTTAGATTTTTGATATAGAAGCTATTTTGTTTTCTTTTATAAGTGAAGGTGTTTGATAAAACTTTTATAAAGAAAAAAAAATATTTTTGAATAGTTATAGTTTTTGAGAAACAGAGAAAAAATATTTTCTCTTTAAAAGTATTTTTGAGAAAAATATATTTTTTAAAATACTTTTTAAAAGTTTGGACAAATACTAATTAATGTTCATAAACGTTTTATTTAGCCAAACACAAATTATTTCTTAGTTAGCTAAACACAAACTATTTCTCACTAAAAATATTATTTTAAAAAATACTTTTTAAAATAAGTTAATTTTAGAAGCTTAGTCGAACAGGCTATAAAACCCTTTACACTAAGTTAATACAAAACAGAAAATATTAAATTAAACAAATTTGAATTCATAACATTACTGAGTTAAATTCTAGCTCTTTGTCACTGCACGACTAGACTATATCCCGGGTAAGGATAAGATTAAAACCCTTACGTTACATATGTGTATTTTTCGGTTCGAAATACATGAGGTAAACATTTTTTAATCAATTGTTACTTAAGATGTAAACACTTGTTATCACTTTTTGTTTGTTGCAAGATAATTAGAGGGGTGGGG